AATGCACATTAAGTTTACATAAAAGTTCAATTTCTGCTTTAAAAGTGGTAAATAGGATCAGGGCCTAATTACCTTCTGAATTCACAAGGTTCAGGCTTGAAGCCCAGATTTTAGGAGGCTTCAAAATAATCCTATACCATCTCACAGCCTTGTTTTTTTTTGGTTTACTTCGTGAAACAAGGAAAATAAAGGATATTATACTTAATGTCCCAAAGTGTTTTAACCAAGCCATGATAACATGCTTTGATAGTTTGTAAGACATAAATCAGGACTCAGCTGCTTATAGTTGGAATATTATAAGGAAAAAAGGTATGACAAAGTTTTTTTTTTTTTGTGTGTAAAGTTTTTTGTGTGTGTGTGTGTGTGTGTAAAGTATATCTGGTAAAATGTGAAGAGTTTAACAAAAGTTCTAGGGGTAGGTATTAAATTTCAAATGAGCTGGGACTCTGTAAACTACTAAATATATTATTGTGTTAAATCATATAGAAGATTTAACGTTTTTCCTATATTATGTTTGACAGTGTGGAAATTTTGGGTTTTCTTTTTTTTAAAACTTATTCTTAACTATCATCCATTATCATCCATTGGGTTCTTTTCAATCCTGTTTGAGCTAAATATATTATTAATTGCATACAACTGATATTTTCTGAAGCTGAAAAATTTCCTTCAAGAAGCCTATTTGCCATGTTATATATGATTAAAGTGTAATGCAATGATATAACAAAATTTAGGATAGAAGTCCTTTCTAATCCTGCACATATTGTGAAAATTTGGTACTTTCTGATTATCCTCCTCACAAGAAGTTATAAGGTATTTCTCCCACTTCCCTAGCGTGCCTTCGTGGTGTAACGGTAGCACGCCGGGCTGTTATTCCAGAGGTCCGTGGTTCATTCCTGGCAAAGGCGGTTGCATATTTTTCATCTTTTCTGCTTCCAATTAACTTAATGACTCTACAAGTGGCACCCGAACTAAAAGGGTTGTGAATGAAGATTCTCCGCCCCAGGATTTGCGACTAGTCCCCTAAAACTCTAGTCGCCCTTTAAAAAGGTGAGTATATAAGGTATTTCTACCACTTCCCTAGTTGTCCTTCATGTTTAACGTAGCATGCTGGGCTGGTATTCCAGAGGTCTGTGGTTCGATTCCCAGCGAAGGCGGTTGCATATTTTTCATCTTTTCTGCTTCCAATTAACCTAACGACTTACTGAATGGGTGAAAAATGTTTGGCTATCTTTATACGTTCCATTCATAAAAATAAAAACAAGTATTTATAAGGAATAAGAAATTTTATGAAAAAGAAAAGTCCATATGACTTATATTTTTACAGCTAATAGAGCATTGAAATGACTATCCTCAAGCACACGCATGAGTTAATTATTGCCGCATGTATTCTATATAGTGTGAAATGTACAATAAAAAAATAGTATGAAATGTATATTTATTAAACTAAGAGAGTTAGAGAAGAAGAATTAAAATTCTTGTGAACTTAAAGAGAGGACCTAAACATGAAATATTTTTAGAATTGAAATTTCGTGAAAAATGTGTTAATTTAAATGAATTAACAAATTTAAGTGTCTTTAAATGAATTTATTAGAATTTTTTTTTCTCATGATGCCATGATTTAATTTTATTGCATTTGAACTTATCAAAACCTATAAATTTTGTGAACCTTACTTTCTCTCAATAACAAATAGTAATGTTTGAGCAGGTAATCTGTTCATTCAGTGCTGAAACCTGCTGTTAAATGTTACTGCTAAACCTAATGTACATTCTGTCTGAACATTTTTTTAAGATACATTTTTGTAGGCCTCAAGTTTTCTTCAAAGAAAACTCTTCTAACCATGAACTTAAATTTTTTTCAGAAAAATATATAGAGCAATGTTTATATGCCTTTTAAGGGACCATTCACAAATGACATACAGATGAGAAAGATGTATAAACAAAATCTTAATTTCTGATACTACTAACCTACTACTGATATTGCACAATTTTATTATCCTCCTGTCACTTTGTTAAAAATATTAACAATGTTGTAAAAATTTAAAATTAATATTTAAATAATATTAATATTTTAAGCAATTTAAACAGTTTTTAATAATTAATATTTTTAAAATGATAATATAAATTGAATATTTTTAAAATCATAAGAATGCAAATTTCTGTATATAGCTATGTAAAACTGAAAAAAAAATTAATGCCTTTATGTGAGTTATAGTCTTCAGATGTATGTCTTTAGATTTTGAATCTTAAGCAAAGTGCTGTAAATTGAATTCAGTTCTTGAACTGTTTTTTTTTGCTTGTATTATTACACAAAAAGAAATTTCAGAGGGTATTAAGGCAGCAGATAGCATTTTGAAAAGAAGATGGCATTATTTCTTCATTTTCTTTGGTGATCCCCACTACTTAAATGTTCATGTGCTAAAATGTTTTCAGTCAATGCTTCAGCTGTGCATAAGTCTGACTTCATTACATTAGCACCACAGTTGACATGTTCCTTGACTGTAATGTCTATTCCCAGTACTTTCCACTCTTCTTCATCCATGATCACAATTTGATCATCATTTCATCTTCAACACTTTGATTTGACTCTGGCTTCGAAAATCCCCCTTTAATGAAGCAATTTTTAATTGTTTGTGATTTTACTTTAATGTAAGTAAGTGAAATCGTATTCATAACCACAAAAATATTTAAATTTTCTGTAGTTATACATTGAAGGGCTATTGAATCAACCTTTACTTGAGAATAGTTTGTAAGAACAGATTGTTCTTTATTTAGATAAATAACAGATACAAATTATGGATGTAGTATGTAGAAAACTTAAGGAGCTCAAACTATGAAATTATCTGATAAATTCATCAATATTTGCCCCCTATAATTTTTAGTAGCCCAAAATCATATAAACATTGAGATTGGCCTTATGTCATTTAAAACACCAACAAAATAGTAATCTTTTTAAAAAAATTTCTGTAATAAACTAGATACCACATAAATTTGCTTAAATGGGAATATGAGGGATGTTGTGCACTCATAATGTGCTTTGATTGCTGCATTTTGTCAAGAAGGTCCAAAATTTTGATCTCTCTCTCTCTCTCTTTTTTTTTTTTTTTGAAAGTGCAAGAAAAAACAGAGAACTAGCAGTTAACTTATATTCTTCTTTATTAAAAGTAAATTGAATTGAAGATTGGGGTTATATAAAACCGAAGGTTATATATTAAGCAAAGATCTGATGAATATGTTGTAGTGTCACACTTATTCTTTTTAGGTGCTAAATTGCTCTGTTTGGCAATTTCTTTGTCAAAAAATGGTCAGCAGAAAAATACTTCAAAACCTTTAGTTCTTAAATCCAAGATATGCCAGTGCTTATCTGTGCTTTCTTTTCATATATATGTATTGTTTTATTTTAAACACGCTTTTTGCTCATGCACGAGTGAAATATTTTCCTAAGAAATACATTTTAGTTAATTATTTTTAAAATTTTATTTCAGGTATCTGCATCTGGAAATTCAATTGCTCGCATGTATGGAATTAGTAAATGTCATCATATAACACACCTCAACTTATCAAATAATAATATTATATGCATAGAAGGTAAATTTAAGCCTTGTATTTTTTTAATAGAATATTTGTTTATTTTATTTCTGGTTTACTTTCTGGCTTTAAAAAAAAAAGAAGAAAACGCATGAGTATTTTTTTAATAAACCTTCCGAAGGACCAAAGATTTGGTATCATAAAAAAGGCTATAGGAAAGAAGTATTTTTTAGATTATAACTTTGATAATGTCTCTATAACTTTGTACGGAACATTTTTTCCTTCTTAGTACAAGTACTTTGATGGTTTGCACATATGTGTACTTAAAAGTATTAGGACAAGTCCATGTTAAACAAATATTGGCTGCTTGGAGTGTTTTTTTTAATGTTGATGCATTATGTTCCTGCATTAAATTAAATAATGATTTTTTTAATGTATAACTATTGCTCCTTTAGAATAAATTTGTTTGCTATATTTTTAATTTATCATTCCTTTTTTCAGACAAATTCAGTGCAGCATTTTGCACTGAAATAATATTGAGATATTTTTGCTTTAAAAAAAAATTTGTGATTACTGTTATATATATGTGTGTGTATGTATGTAATATGATGACTTGGAGTAAGTTGCAACAGATTTACGATGGTTCTCTGCATAACTCTTAGAGACGTTACTGCATAGTTAGAGAGATGACACTCAGAGGAAGAGTACAGACGTGTAGACAGACATGTCTGAATTGAATATAATTTTTATTGATGCACACAAACTAATTATTGAAAATGTATTTTTTTAACAATCATGGGCACAATACACATCCCACATTTTTATACAGAGTATCATATTTTAGATAAAAGTGTAGTTAGTAGCACAACAAAGCAAAGGGAGCAAAGTAGTGTCTTTAGTGCAAGAGAGCTGAAGGTAAAAGTGTGCAGTTACCAAATATGGAGGTTCACTAAGAGGAGGCCTGGGTTTAGATTAGAAAGGTTTTAGTTCTCGAAATTTTGAGTTCAGGTTACAAATTAGCTACATCATCAGTGTTATGCAAGCCATGCAAGATAGATGAATCTAGAAATGGCATAGTCCAGAAAAGTTATTACTACTTTTAGAATACAGAGAGGAAATGCACAGTTTATAAATGAGGAATTAAAAGGCTATTACAGTCAAAAGTCTTTAATCCGGACTCGTCGGGACTTCGGCGATTCCGGATTATCGATTTTTCCGGATTATAGATCATCAGTTTAAATCTGGTAAGATGGCATGCAGAAATTATAAAATTAAAAATATGAAACCGTAATTTATAAAATAATGAGCAATTATGATCTAAAGGGTATCAAAATTTACAAAAAAGAAGCTTAATATTTATTTGTTTACTTTATTAAACATTTCTTTCAACGCGCGCATGCGTAAAGCATACCTTACACATAGCCGAATTAGAAAATTGCAACCAGAAAACTATTTGATTTGTATTCGTGATATTTTATAATGACGAGGAATTTGATTTAAATCATATCAAAGACGAGTACATCGAGATTAAATACTACATTTAGTAAGGAATTATAAGCCGAATAAATAAAAACATCTGCCCTGAAGATAATGATAGTACTGACAGATCAACTTCCAGTTCATTGCGCGCCGCGACGTCCCCCCCTCCCCCGCGCAGAGCAGCGTGAAATTGATAAACAGATTTCAGAACGGTTAGATAAACAAAGGATATGCCTTTATCCATTTTTTTGTAGCAATTCTTTTTTGTTTGATGGACATCGAAACATACTTTCGTTTTCTAGATCCTTTGGGAGCTCCAGCATCGGAAATTCTATTTGACATAATCGAAAGTTCAAGCTTACTTTTATAAAATTGCTCTTACAGTCTGCAAAAAATAATAAGCCGGATCCAATTCGAAGATTAAGGAACAACGCAATCATCAACATTAACTGAAATAGATAATTAGATAATTTTAGCTTATACCGTCCGTTATACATTAAACGCGCACGCGAAAACGTATTCTGCGCTTGCGCACGCATATGCGCAGTCGTAAATGTCTTGGGCGCACGCGTAAAACGCCTATGCTCATGCGGCGCATGCGCAGAAAGATTTTAGCTTTGAGGTCCGGATTATAGATCATTCCGGATTATGGGTGTCCGAATTAACGACTTTTGACTGTACTAAATTAAATTATAAAGCTGATTTACATATTTTTTTTATCTTACCTGTTCTATAAAATATTTCTCTTATGAGCCATAATGTTATTTTCTTCGATTTAAAAATCATTCTTGTGATGTGTATTATGCGAGTAATAATAAAGCAAAATACCTTGTTTTCTTGAAAATAACACTTCAGATATGGAAAAATAAGCCCCAACATTATTTCTGAAGATGCTCACATTGTAATCCTTACCCTCTAAAATAAGACTTTGTTAAGATTGTCATCTAGACAGATGTCAGATTTATCGCTAAATGACCAGTTGGAGTGCAGATACGACACACGATTACTTCATAATGAATATATATATTTGTGACTAATTAAAATCTTCGTAATTCAGTATAACATGTATTACACTGTACATACTTAATATATTCATGCGAAATTAAGGATATTTAAAAAATTTTGGGCTTACAGTTTTTCATCACTTTTCTGTGTCCATCGTTCTGAACAGGTTTTGTTGTTAATCCTATCTCATAAATTTTCATTTAACACATGATTGAACAATAGATTTAAAAAGAATAATATTTTGATCCTTAAACAAGATGAGTGCAGAAAGGAAGAACAATATACTGAGTACAAGAATGATTGATGAGGCAAAAATCTTGCAGCTTTCTACAAAGAGAAGAAACTGGGTTACTTTCTCATTACCTGCAACCGCAGTTTCAGTAGTCAGCGGAATTGGCATATTTTGAGTGTATTTTTTTAGTGTTACGCATGACTAACTAATCCATGCATGTGCATACCATGTGTGTTTTCAAGTACTCATAGATTTAGATGCTTTATATTTAACTGTTATTTCACTGAATAGTATCCACTGGCTGTGAAGGTAATAAATATTGACCACATAGATTTTTGATGTTTCTCTTCAAAAATTTTTTGTTTAAATTATTTATTATTTATGCACATAATAGTATTTATGAGCCATAATGTTACCCAAACAAAACGTTTTTTGCCATTGAGCTGGAGGCCTTTTAATCAGAAAGTATCGAAATTGAATCTCTGAATGGTCTGAAAATAACAAGCAGAATGTAGTAATTTCACTTAACAGGAAGATGAGGAAAATGTTAAGAAGCACAAGTGTGGATTGAGTCAGCATTATTACCCGAGCTGGAAGATATCATCTGCATATGGATTGCTGACAGAAGAGCTAAAGTTTTGGTTGTACTCATGGCTAATACTGAAGTATTTGCCCTTGCAGTGTATCATCTGGTAAAAATATATTTACTGGTGCCTCTTGGCAAAAATTGGTGATTTCTGGTGGTACATGGACTTCGTTTGTGAAATTCTTTGACTTGTTATTTTGGCTTTGTGTAGTGGCGATTTCTGTGCCAAAAACACAAATCCAAAGTAACAAGTCAAGATTTTCACTTAAAAAACATCAGAGAATTGCACAAACTAGGCATTGCGTATTCCCTGTGTCCATGTACACATCGATCTATATTCACTTAAAAAGTCAAAGGGAGCAGCCAACAAAAAATATATAATCTCAATAAACCACATTTTAAATCAAACAATGAAATAACTAAAAAAGGAAAATTCATCTTAGCACTACACAAAGGAAATATCCACTTACCTTATTTACAAATTTCGTGTCTTCAGTCAAACAAAATTCCTTAACAGCATCCAAAAACCTCTTAAAATTATCTGAACTAGAATCTGCATGCTAGCGTTGCCACATAAATTCACAAAAATAAGAGTAAAAAATGTCCTCCGTAGTGCTGGTATCCTCCAGTTTTCCACCATACACATTTCCGTCTTACAAACAGGACACTTATAATGGCTACTAAGTAAACCTTCATCTACACACCAGTCTAGTAATGGTTTTTTCCCTTTTGTTCCAAATTGTACAGAAACTTCAAGTTAATCCTACCACATTCAGCCATTTTACTGTGTAAACCACAAAATAACAACGTACTTCTTAACCAACATCGAACATACAGACAAGCCTTTCCAAATCTTTTCCCATTATTCAAATTCACCACAATCATGCAACCAGTTACCTCATAATAGGGTTTCTATAGCGTCCAACTACTCAGGTTATCATAAATGAAACAACTGAGCAATAATCCAAGCGGCGCCCTTAAATCTACTCTAACCTATCTAGTCTATACTAGTTTGACATATCCCTAGATGAATTCAAAGCATCGCAACACATAATTGGTTTCTTGCAGCAGTTTTGGATTGTCTCTGAAAAGATCAACAGCATTGTTTAGGTTATTAATCATGCACTTGCATTTAAGTCTTTTGTTGATGACATTGAATTTTTTTAAAAACAACTCTCCAACATGATAGCTATAGTAAACACTTAAGCATTACAGTAGTAAAACTGTAATGCTTATATGCTTACAGTAGTAAAACTGTAATGCTTATATGTCAAGGATCTGAAATGACAATTGATCAGAGTAGTAGTACCTCATGTCTACATTCTGACTATCAGTTACCAAAGTGCACACGTTATGTACATTTTAGAAATTTGTCTGGATAAAAAGAAAGCCCTGTCTCTAATCATCAATAAGGGCAAAAAAGATGAAACTGAAGGTGTTTTGGACATTTTTCTCTTGAAACCAAAAAAGTGTGCTGCAGCTGCACAGGCAGCTATAAAGAAGTTTGATTTAAGCTACAATTTGTATTACAATGTGGATAAAGAGGTGTGCTAGTCTAGGATTCATCTAGAAAAATATGTCATAATAATTTCTACAGAGCTGACAGTCTATCTCCAGACCATAGATATTGCATTTACTTTCTGGGTGGCATGACCGGCTTTATCTAGATCATGTGATTTTTTGTCACTTGATACATAATAGCTTATAACTTAAGGTATTTTGCTACTTTCTTTAATTATGTAATTGTAATCTTAATGAATATATGTTTATGAAAATAGAGGCTAAAATAAGTAAATATATGAATTTAGCTAATAAAATGCTGCATAAATACAGGTCTTCATGACAGATCCAAAAACCTGTGCTGCTTGGAGGGTTAACCAACGATTTTAAAGACTATTTATGTATTTAAATTGGTGACTACATTGAAAGTAAAATAGAGAAAAATCACTGTGGAAAGTTATTGAAGTTGAGCCTGCATAAGCATGTGACTTAAGTGAATTCATTGAATATAATCACTGATAGCTGTGTTGATAAGCTCCGTGAATAGGCTATATGGGTAAGAAATGTTAATTTAAGGAGAAATGTATTGTTAGACATGAAAGATAAGGGCCAATGATTCCCTAGATGGTGTTTTCCAATCAGTGGTACATGTAATCGTAGCAGTCGATCTGTAAATCACTAATGGCAGAAAGTAGCAAACTGTTATATATAAAGAAGAAAGTCTGTGTGTGTGTTTGTTCGCTAATAACTCGGTCACTACTATAGCTGTCATCACCAAACTTTCTACAGTTCTTTTCTTGTTCCTGAAAAAGGTCGACGTCCAGTTTTACGAAAAAAAAAGTAACTTAAATCAGTGATATGAATTAAAAACTTGGAAAAACGATAACTTTTGCCTTCATTTTTCCGAGTAGCATCAGTCTCGCAAGCTGGAGATGAAAATCTGCTTTATTTCAAAAGTTATTGCCACTGTTCGCTTTCAAATCCTAGAGTTTGTTAATAAAAAATTTCACAGTTTTACGATGAAATAAAAATAGCATTGCCAAACATTAAATACATTATTCCCGATTCCAAAAATTCAGGGAAGCCATTTTGACTATTCCCATCTGCGTGTGACGTTAATCAACCGAAATATTAATTAAAAACTCTGAAAGCGCTAATTTTTGCATTCATTTTTCTGAATGGCAACAGTCTCGCGTGTTGCAGATGCTTTATTTTGAAAAGTATTGTACTGCTCACTTTCAAATCGTAGAGTTAGTTAATAAAAAAATTTGTAAGATTTACAAAATCTATACACTATGTAAAGAAGAATGTCTGTGTGTTTGTTCGCATTATTGAATTCTCATCAATTATGATTGATTTGTTTGCCACATTTAATCGACTAAAATTGAATAAGGTGAAATACTGGATATAACTTCAGCTTTTATGACCATTTGATTAGAAAGACAAAAATTGCGTGCCATTGTTGCTGATATAATGAGAGATACAGTACAAAGTTCGTAATCTGGACTCATCGGGACTTCGGCGATTCCGGTTCAGGGTTTTTTTCCGGATTATAGATCATCAATTTAAATCTGATAAGATGGCATGCAGAAATAATACAATTAAAAATATGAAACCGTAATTTATGAAGTAAAGAGCAATCGTGATCTAAAGGGTATCAAAATTTACAAAAAAAAAAAAAAATCTTAATATTTATTTTTTTACTTTAGTAAACATTTCTATCAATGTAAGTTGTTTAAGTTGCTTCGTTTTTTTGTGCTAATACTTTCTCTTTAATTCTATAAACAGACATAATTTCTTGTTCAGTTACAAAGTTCCACTGTTCAAGTCCTGTAATTGCTGTGTTGAGAATACCGACTAACTTGTCAATAGAAATTTTTTCGTTTTCAATAACGTTCTCTGTTACTTTCTTCACTATCGAAAGCGCGCATGGATAAACGTTTTACTGGCTTTATGCGCATGTGTAGCGGACGCATGCATCAAACGTGCATGTGTAAGTTTGTGGCTTTGAGGTCCGGATTATAGATCATTCCTGATAATGGATGTCCGGATTAGAGTCTTTGTACTGTAATTAGTTTATTTTTGTATCAAAATTTTCGTATGTGGGTTCCATATCGCATCAGACTGAAAAATGTATGACTATAAATCATAATTGTGCATTGTTCTCTCTGTTGTTAGATGCATTATTCTCAATCTAACGTAGCTGTCATTGCGTACTTCTGCTAGTAAAGGCTAATGAAAGGGAAAATGTTCAGAAAGTTTATATTCGCTATTAAATAAAAGGGTAGTTATTGAAAGAATTTTCAATGTGTTTGTTAGTGTCAGAAATAGCAAAATAATTATGGCTAACTTACCCAGCGCATATATGTCATATTACTCAATTCCTTATGCATTCCATTTCTCACTCTGTCACCACAACTGGTAGCCAACCATATTTTGAAGTATCAAACCTGTTGTGAAGTTCTCTTTATTTACAACCGTAACATTCAATTCACTTAGAGTTTTGTTTTAAGTTAGTTTTTCTTCTTTTAAAGTGTTAAATGTTAACAATTGTTTGTATAAAAATAGTTAAAATTTGAAAAATTCAGACAGAACTGAAACTATTATATATAACTGTATTATATATAATTTGGGACCCGCTCTGGGCACTTTTTTGAAGATTGTCATTTCTCTCACATTTCTAGTTATAAAGATTAGTTTCTTTTTCTTTTCTTTTCTTTTTTTTAATGCTGCATTTAACCCCCCTTTTTTAGTGTATGTGTGCGTGTTTGCTTTTATAAAACAACATATGGTATACAGGAAATATTTCTTCAAAATTTTGATCATCTATCAATAGAAAGTGGAAGGTTGATTAATGCATTAAAAATGCTTAAAAATATTGATTCATTTATTTAAAACCTCTGGGTCGACTTGTATGGCAAGCCAATTATTAAGTTGGAAGATATGGTATTTTTTACATCTTGTTTTGGTGTTCAGTTATAGTGCCTCTAAATTATCACTCTTTCCTGCTGTTCAATTTTTTAGCAGTATTAATATTTCCAAAGCTTTTTTAAAGAATCTTATAAAAAAGTCATGTATTAGTTGTATAATTTATTTAAGCTGATAGTTTCGAAAAGTTTTTAACATTGTTGTTTATTTTAATTTTAGGTTTAAAAGAAATTCCAAATTTGACATTTTTGAATCTTTCAGTAAATAATGTAAAGGTAAGATGATGCAATGTATTTTATAATAGATAAGATTTTGAGAGTGAATTAGGGATTTAATGAAAAAAATACGTTTGTTGAAATATTGTTTTGATCATTGCATTTTCTTTCATTAAATAATATCTTAAATCTTCATAATTATGTGTCTCAGTATGAAGTTTTTTATATAAAAATATGTGGAGCAATGAATGGATGAAAATTTATGTTGATGAGTTTTTTAAAAATGTTGTAATGGACTTCTGAATTCACCAATCTATTACAAATTAATAATTAATTAAAATAAATTTTCTTGTTCTAAATAATAAAAAGGATGCAACAAAGACAAATTTTATTTTTTAGAATAATGGTGAATATTTGTTGCTTATTTAGTAGCATTTCCTTGTAAATGTGTATAAAGAGTTATCACCCCTCTCCCTCCCCCTAACAAAAGGGAAAAAATTATCTAAATTCAATCTTTATGCAGATATCAATTTGTGTATTTGTTCAGTGTGTTTTTTTTGGGAAGGGTGACTTTTCCGTTTTGCCGGCGCAAACGATAAAGTTGCCGATAATGGTACAACTGATGCCCGGAATATCCTTGCTGGTAACCTTTTACACCTCATTTTCAAAACAAGTTGCAGCCATTTTTTACCAGATTGATTGTTTCTTTCAATACTGGCATACAATGACATAGAATATTTACAAACATAATTAAACTTTATGCCCTAAGACCATTCGCGGTAATTAAGTCGATTATGATGCAATCACACTGCTCACCTGAGAATATGGAAAAGGCAAATTCAAGGGTTGAATTCATCAATTCTAATGAGAATCCACAAGCAAAGTAAAGCACTGCGGTTTTACATAATTTCTAAGCTACTCGTACGAATTGAAATAATTCTTGCATTTTAAACTTGTATTCCAAATTAAGCTTAAATTGAAATTAATGTAGATAATTACTGAGAGAATTATATTTTTGTAGCGTAGTTTACGTGAGATGAGATCACTTGGGGTCACATGATATGAGCTGGCGAATCAGGATGTTGAACCATGATAGCATAGTAAATTCTTAAATTAATGTCTTTTTGCAAATTTATTATCTTTATTTATTGGCTTTTTACAAAATTATAAACCGTATAAAAATGTTTATACCTTCAAAATAAAAATTCCTAGAACTAACATTTATTAACATTTTTTATGTGTATAATGTATGCTGTCGCCAACAAAGTTTGCTTGGTGAGATTTGCGCCGGCAAAATGGAAAAGTACCCTTTTTTTAAAGTTTTGTATTTAAGTTGAAATTGATGTATTAACTTCAAATTACTCAAGTTTTCACCCAGAAATTTCCCAAGTTCTATTGCAAATTGTACAAGTTTCATATTAGGTGTAAAATATACTGTGATTGCTAATTGCTTTAAATTTCTTTTACACTTCCTTAATTATTTCTGCTTTAATTTGTATTAAAAATGAGAATTATGCAAATATTAATGGAAATGTTTAATTCTTCAGTGATTAAAAAAAGAGGAACTTTTGAAAGTTTCTAGAAATGAAGTATTTTATCTAGTTCTCCGCTGTTATTTCTGTAGTTCATGGACTGTGTTTTAAGTAGCCACTACTCTAATAACTAATGGTATTTTTCACATTTTCTAAAATGACTTGTCATCATAGTTACCTATTTCAGTGACTATAATTATATATAGTTAATGTTTAAAATGTTATTAATGTTGCGGACTATTTAAATGTCTGCACAATTTCTACATTTTATGTTTACACTTTCCTTGCACTAGTGACGTTTTATAGTTGATAATAAATTAATGACAATGGGTGTGATGTTACTAGAAACTCTCTGCTTCTTTATATCTTCCTCTTTAACACTCTGGCTGGGCTGACACATGTGCCCTCCTTCCAATGCATTGCCCATTTACTGCCTCACAGAGGTGTGCGTTGCTTTCCTTAAACGTCATCTTAATACCTTAAGCATATATTCAGCATAAAGAAATAGTTAGAAATTCAGAGCTTAAATTCAGCCAGAGCCCAATGAAACTTGTCACTGGTGCTCAGTCATTGTGTGAAATTGTTATTCCTGCAGAAATCCCGAAAAGATGAGTTTCAAGGCAAAATTTCAATAAGTTATTATTTAATTTTGTGTCATTAATTTTTATTTTTTTATATACCGCTTTACATTTTATTCAGTTTTAATTGTTAATTATTTACTATTTGATTCACTTTTTTAACTGTGTTACTTTGTGTTCGAGCAGTTCTAATTTTAGGAATTTAGTCTTGCAGGAAGTTAGATTAAAAATATGGTTATGATTTTCAATCGTAGCAACTTCTCCTTTTCTGCTATCACATAGTGCTTTCACTTGCAATGCAAAAATTATAAAAATGCATGAATTGAACAGAATGAATAATTTAGATTAGTGTAAAATGGTTGATAAACTTCATAAATAATTTGTTTTTTGAAATATTTAAAATGAGGAAGCTGTACTTAAACCTTTGGAAGTCGGAGATTTGATGCCTGTAAGAAGTTAAAAAAAAAAGACAAGTTTTTCATACCTTATGTTTTCCCCCTTTCAAGAAATCCCTTGTTGTTTGCATGCAACAGTGACCCTTTTAGGTAATTTGATTCATTCTGAAAGAGATGCTCACCTTCACAAAAGGAAAAGAAATGTAGAGATTATTGTGTAAACTGCTAGATGATTTTCTTTATGGAGGGAAATTTAAAGGTGGAGTTTATATTTCCATTATGAAAATGTCATTCTATTTCTCCATATTATAGCACACAGTTTTTTTTTTTTTTTTTTTAAGTGTACGAGATTTTAAATAATGATTTTAATTTGTCATACCAAATTAAGTGCCATTCTAAAATGATAAGAAAAATTAATTCTATTATTTTTAAAGTTATGTTATAAAATTACCCTATTTGTTATTTTATAGATATTTTTTTTTTTTTATACGTATTTAGTCAATTACTTTAGTCGATCTAATTGTTTTTTTTCAATGCATCCGAAATTTTTTTCATACATTTCATGAACTCATTTTCTGAAGTTTACAATCATTCATAGCTTTGCAAACAAAGAAACATCATGTACATGTTGCAGTAAACAAAAATTTTATTTACTGTCATATTTCCTTGTACTGTTTAACTTATTTTGCTATATATTTTATTGAAACATTATTTACTGTCATATTTCCTTGTACTGTTTAACTTGTTTTGCTATATATTTTATTGACACATTATTTACTGTCATATTTAACATACTTCTTTTTATTTGGGAAGTGACTATGTTATACCTTTAACATTTTCTTTCATTAATTTTTAGAGGTATGAATGTAATAGATTTTGTAATTTTTAAAAGTATTTATCCATTAATGTGGGTAATAAAAAATTAAATTTTATAGACTTCAAATATATGCAGAATACAAAACAGGTCATTGGATAGAAAGATATAAATCACACTAAAATAAAAATACTGCCATATAATCAAAGATATCAAATAGGCATTTTAACTACAGCTTAAAACTGTGTTAGGGAAATTCCTATTAATGATAAAGTTTGTGTGTACAAACTTTTAATTACATATTAATTATTTTGTAACTCATAATATCGGCATCCATTATCCAAGAAATATCTCAGGTGTCTTTTCTGAAGAACGAAAAAATTATGAAAAAGAATAAGAAAGAATAAGGGAGGAAAATGAGACTCGCCAGTGTATATCATGCAAAGGTATTTCTGTCTTGCATCATATTATAGCTTCAGCTAAAATGATGGTAACAGGAAAGATTGATGGATAACAGATTGACAGTAACAGGAAAAAGCATCTTTGTCAGCAAATAATGATGATTTGGCTTATGTTCCACAAACTATCACAATTTTTAAGACAAAGTTTCAGAGAAAAATGCAATTAGAAATTTTTGATAAGATGTTTCACCTAAACCAGGGTTTTTTAAACTGTGGGTCACGACCACCTTGGGGGTCGCGGGACCTGCGGCAGGGGGTTGCCAAATAGTTTAGCAGTTTTGATAAACTGCTAAAATAAACTGCTTATTATAATAATTTTACAATGACCAAATATTTTTACACAATGTATCTTGAAAATAGATCGACACATTCTTTTTATAATATAAACATTCATTTTCCTTGCTTTGCACGTGACGCTGTCATTTTGTGTGTTACTTATTTAAAATTTTCACTTTGTTCTATGTCTTAAAATTAATTAATGACCTAAAACTGCAATAATATATTACAGTAGAAGTGAAAAAAAATTAACAGTTTCATCGTGCATGTGTCGGATATGCGCAATACTTATGGGGTCCCACAAAATTTTTGTAAATATTGTGGGGTCCTGGGGGTCGCAAAAAAATCTCGGATAAAAAGGTAGTCTTGACTGAAAAAAGTTTAAGAAACCCTGACATAGACCACTTAGCAACACGAAATATCACTTGAATGCGAGTCTTAAAAAAAATGATACTTTCCCAAACACTCGACTAATATTGTCATAACAATAGATAAGTTGGAACTGAAGCAGAATAATGGCCTTGTGAGTCATAGATGCAAAATAAGAGGGTGGGAGGAATGGTGCCTACAATATTCTGGGATGTTGTCTTCATATGTGTATAACTAAAAAAGAATAATAAAGTGGAATGTGAACCATTTAGCAGCGTATCCTACTGGTACCATTGCTCCATAATCAGAAATTTATGGTTAAATTTTTTTTTGTGGTGCACCATTGTGATTTGGTTTCCATCACTTGGGAAGCATTTCAGTATGTATTTTTCAAGAGACCATTTAAAAAAGACATGTAAATGAGAGACTATGGGATTTTAGATCAGATGTGATATAAATTTTAGCTATAGAATTTTAAAATTACTACTGATATAAATTTAATTTTATTACTTGACATTTACTTTCTTTAAATTATTGTCTGTATTTTTGAAAAGCTAAAGTAATTTAAAATGGTAAGCATTTTAACTAATTTTCAGCATAAAAATAAGAATTACCATACTTTTATTTCAATTATCAATCTTGAATAATTAACTCTTTCATTCATAAAAATTTTAATGTAGATGGAGTTTTAATTTCTTAAAAAATCTTTGAATATTGTTTGATATGCTGTTAAATTTTGAATCTTAGGCAAAGCGCCATGGTTCTTGAAAAGTTTTGTCATTTATGTTGTGACAAATAGACTTTCAGATACTATGCATTCCACTAAGTATGTCAACTCTTTGCATTGTATTTGAAAAGAAGGTGAGATAAGTTCCTTATTTTTATCTTTATCCTTACTATTTAAATATTCATTCTAAAATCTACTTTCAGTCCATTGTACGTACGTTCATTGCTCTCTCAACTTTAGATTGCTACTACATTTTACATATTTCTGAAATCTATAACAAGCAAACAACTTCTAAGTCATCACACTTAAGTCTCAGTGTACACTGAACAGACAGTTTTCATAGCATCATAGTTTACATAGTCACATAGTTTCATAGCTCATTACATAGTTTCAAGCTTACATAGTCTTTAAAGCTGTATGTATCTAGATTTCAGTTTTCTTCATCTCTCATACAGATTAAGTTAGGTTAATTTTGTATTATAAGCACATAAGAACTATCTGTCTTGACTAACTAACTATGACTCAGTGGAGGGTTTTTTTAAAGGTAAATGGCTCGTATTCACATTACACTTGAGGAAAATTGTGAAAACCAGCCAATGCAGCCAGCCTGTTCACCAGGAATGGAGCTGATTATCAAACTTTGTGTATTTCGTGGCCACTGGGGGGAGGGGGGTCATATCTGATATAGTTGCAGTTTCACCATCATTTTTCCTTAATTAACTTTAACCAATTTTGGATTTGAAAATTAAACTTTGGAGTAAAATCAGTTGTATAAGTTTAAGATATGCACTATCTTCATGTCCTTCCATTTGTATATCCATATGTATGTCTTTCAGGATGGAAATGAGATATCAGGTTTTTCATGAAGGTAAATCAATAAAATTATTTCCTTTGAAAATATGTTCCTGCTTTTTTTAATCTTTAAAAGAAAATGAAAATGTAGTCAACTACTAGAAAGAATGTGTCTCAGGATAAAAAATATTTATAATGAATAGCTTTTTGTTTTAAATTAAACATCTTCTTAACATAGTATTGCAAATAGGATTTTAATTTGCTACTTTGACTAACTAGGTAAATGATGTGGATACTGATGCATTCACTTATAAAGGTTTTATCTTGGCAAGCACTGACCAATCTGCATGTGTTCCAGTAGGTTTGTGTATACTAGGGAGAAAAGTAGAATTTGTTGTTAAACTGCCTAAGTTAAATCTGAAGATGCTTAGATTTTTATTTCAATAATTTAATTAGTTATTTATTTTTTAGAAGATAGCACTAAAATGCTGTTTTTAAATTTGAGCATATGATAAAATGGTGAGGAAAAAGAAATGATTGAAACAACCACCAGTTTCAGTGCCACCATCTAAAAAATAACTAAACGCGGTAGATCGCATACTGCATAATTACACGTTATTGTATAGTATCTGCTTCTGATTTCTAATGATAAGCTGTTTAAAGAAAATTAGTTTATTTATTTTTAGCAAAGAATCACATCATGTCAAAATTCAAGCAAGTACATTTTGCTCTACTAAAGTATAAAGCACCCATAATGTCATAGCTCTTACATACTGAATCTTCTTCAAATAATCATGTTCTGTACATTTTAGACTATTGTCAGAATTGGGTGGATAATGCAATAGTAACAGATTATGTACGTATATATATATATAGAGAGAGAGAGAGAGAAAGAAATCAATCAATATTAAAAAATGTTTAATTTGAAAATATAAATATTGTGCAAAATTAGGGGGAGAAATTGAATATAAATTTTCTAAAAGTGGCAAGCTGTCTAATAGTTATTTCTTGTAAATATATTTTTTTTCTGTATTTACATATTTCTAATTATACGATATATTTTCCCATCTCTTGCAGAGTATTCAAAATTTGCAGTTTTCTCATGCTTTGCTTCATCTTGACCTGTCAAGAAATAATATTAATTGTTTAAGTGACATTTCAGCCTTAGTGAAGCTTAAGGTATTAAAGATGTATTTTTCAATTTTTTATATGTAGTTCTGAAAATTCAGTATTTAATTTATCTATGTAATATTTTTTAAACTAGAAGAAAATTCTTGAAACGCTTTTTAACAGCTCATCATTTTTTAACAGTATGTTAGTGTTTTTGTTCACTTACAGGAATAGAAGCTGTTGCATGTTTGAGCTGTAATATGTAGTATGCTGTTGTTGTTGCAAACATAAGTTATTTCATTTATCTTCCATATTAAAAAAAATGCATTGTTGATATATATATGTATAACTCTTGAGAAAAGAATTCTTAAAATTAAATTTTTTAGAAAACAAAGAGATGAATCTGTGCAAATGCGGCACCCATCAAAGGGTTGGTTCACTTTACCCATATAAATTTAATACATATTATATACAAAAGTTTTACAGATTCTAATAACTGTATTGCCTATAGCCAATTTAAACCTTTCGATATCAAAACTGTAGGAGGAAAAAGAAGAGGAACTAAAAATATTAAGTATTTTTCAGCTTTTAACGTATTACAACTTCAAAATAACTTTGACAAATTACTTAACACTGCCTTTTTCTCCAAAAATAGTTTAAAACTGCTCCATACCTTTAATAATAAAATTTTGCTTCAAATTCAAAATTACTTCCAAAATAATTACGAGAGACTTCAAAATACAGTCAAAAGTCGTTAATTCGGACACCCATAATCCGGAATGATCTATAATCTGGACCTCAAAGCTAAAAACTTTCTGCGCATGCGCCGCGTTGACGCGTGCGCAAAAGACCTTTTACGTGTACACATATGCGTGTGTGCAAGTGCAGTATACATTTTCGCGTGCGTGTTTTATGTATAACGGACGGAATAAGCTAAAATTATCATCTATTTCAGTTAATGTTGATGATTGTGTTGTTCCTTAATTTTCGAATTGGATCCGGCTTATTATTTTTTGCAGATTGTAAGAGCAATACTAAAGTAAACTTTCGATTATATCAAATAGAATTTTCGATGCTGGAGCTCCCAAAAGATCTACAAAACGAAATGTTTCGATGTCCATCAAACAAAAAGTGGAATTGCTGCAAAAAATGGATAAAGACATGAAGAAGGTGACAGAGAGGTTAGTGAAAACGAAAAAATTTCGATTGACAAGTTAGTCGGTATTCTCGGCACAGCAATTACGGGACTTGAACAGCGGAACTTCGTAACTGAACAAGAAATTATGTCTGTTTATAGAATTAAAGAGAAAGTATTATCACATAAAACGAAGCAACTTAAACAACTTACATTGAAAAGAAATGTTTAATAAAGTAAACAAATAATATTAAGCCTTTTTTTTTTTTTTTTTGTAAATTTTGATACCCTTTAGATCATAATGTTTCTTTATTTCATAAATTACGGTTTCATATTTTTTATTTTAGAATTTCTTCATGCCATCTTACGAGATTTAAACTGATGATCTATAATCCGGAAAAATCGATAATACGGAATCGCCGAAGTCCCGACGAGTCCAGATTAACGACTTTTGACTGTATAAAAGAATTAAAGTATTAATTTTTGTTAATGTAAATTAGCAGATAGCAAAATAATATCTAATAAAGTTTACTGCAAATTTAACTTTCTTCAGCTCATTTATGATAGAATAATTTTAGTAAAATCTTCAGATCTCATCAGCATCTATTCCCAGCCTTCAATTACAAAGCAGTGCTGTATTTTCCATATGCTAAAACTTTAAGCAAATCTCTAATTATCCATGATGATTTAGATTCTGATACTGTGTGATATTGAAATTTACATGAAAATCTTCTTTTTGTTGATAAGCACCGTGGTCATACAGGGAATATGAATATAACTAAAGACCTGAAATTAAGAAAGCTTATGGAATTTGGCATCAAATTTAAACCTGTCTACAAATTTCTTATAAAGTATTGCATCAGCATGACAGAAAAAGAGTTAAATGAATTTATTGTTCAAATCTGCAAAAACTAATCTTCCTACTTATACATTTTTAGAATTAAAAGCTTCTGTTTCCAATAATATCAAAAATATACTTTCTCAGTTTAAATTACCCTTTTCCCTCAACAGGATTGAAATTAAAGTTTTTGAGCTTAAGCAAAGCTTTACTATCACTAAAGTAGACAAAGCTAGTAACAATTTCAGTATTGTTAAAAAAATATGGCCTGCTAAATTTCATAACCTACAGTAGGATGAATTCCATCATTTCTTCAGTTGTCAACAAGCTCCGAAGGCTTAGAATTTCAGTTAGTATAGACTGCAAAAAATTTTCTTATCTGAATGCCTTACCTAAATTTCATAAAAATACTAGTCAAATTCTGTTTTATTGCTAATGGCAGTAGACGATAATTTTGCTCTCAAACTTACAGTTATTTATAAGATTATACAGTTATTTTGGAAACTGTTAATGAAAAACATCATTACAATTAGATTATTAATAATATCATTCCATTCTATTTGCACTTAAAATTTGTACATATATCTTCCATTAACAGAAATCTATAACAATCTTTTAGTTCTTCCTAAGCTTTTTCTTGAAATTTTTACATTTATTACAGAAGAAAATTGGAAAATCCACCTTAATTATGCACAATTTAATAACTATATTTAATTTTTTATTACAAAAACATTAAACTTTATGACACAAGAAGATGATTCAAATTTAAGACAATAAAATTAATTCACATGGCTTCTAACATTTTGAAAAAATAAAGTATTAAATAATTTACATTCAAATTAGAATAAAAAAAATATTTGTACTGAAGTTAATTACTTTCAAGAGATCTTCCTTTTCATCAGTTCATTAATAGTGAATAAAATTCCAAAATTTTATGTTAACCTTTCTCTGAAAAAAAAAAGGGAGGGCATTCACTATGAAATTTAATATCTTGTTTTATTATATGATATGATTACATTATTTGAAACCTTAAAAAGGATAATAAGCAGGATAACCAAAATTAGAAACTTGTTTATGTGAAAATAATTCTTTGTGTCCAGTTTCTGCATTATGATTATTTCTCTAACCTTTTATTAACAAGCTGTTTTATTTTCAAAGACTCATCAGAGCTAAAGTGGAGCGAAGACTTTTGACTTTATTTTCTTACTATCTTTGATTTTTGTAACTTTTGCCAGCATGTTGATATAATTGTATTTCTGTTTTACCACCATTTTGTTTAGCTTTGCCAAACTTCATCTAAACTTTTTTCACAATAGTCACAAAATAATTGTTTCTAAAAATTTACCAGTCTTCTGTTTTTACGCCAAATTTCATGCCAATGATACTTTAATGACCCCCTTGGCACAGTAGAATGTTGGCATTGTTAGAAGTACAACGTTATTAAGCCTCTGGTAATTTTACACTTTAAATTATTCAAACCAGAAATGGTAAATTTGTTCTTTTGGTGCCACGTTTTGAGTCTGAATTCTAAAATTGCCGCATCATTTTATAATCGCATGGCATTTTGAGTTTTACACTACTGTTGCTCAATTAAAGCAAATTGAGTAAGTTTTTTTTTTTTTTTTCCTTGAATCTTTAGAGTTTTACCCCATGACGTGTTTAATAAATTTTCATTGATCCTCTTCATTTTTTTAGGTAATTTTATCAGGTTCAGTGTTCCGTCTAACCTTCTTCGGGAACATGCAAGGACCTGACTCGGAACAGAGAGCTTACTAAAGCTATGTTCAACTAATTGTGGAAGTAGACAGGATACACAAGAAGGGTATACAAAACCCTTTATTTTCTCTATATAACTTCCGTACTTCGGAATACAAGACCCGCTAAAAACGTAAAATATAAAAATAAAACTAAACTCTAATTTAACTTTAAAATAATAAACGTGGAAGATTGGCCTTATATTAACAGGAAGCGTATGTAGTACAGAGAACTGTGAACACTACAATACGTTTAAAAATTATCAAGAGGATTAAAACCTCTGGCCTGGAAGGCAAACCAGCAACTGCGTAAAACTTCTAAGGTAAGCGGCCTGCTTCGACTAACTGCTTCCTCTCTCTCGCTTGGCAAAAAGCCACAACTTAAATACTTGGCGTTCGCCAGACAAACTTTGCATAAATACCTTTAACGCTTATAATTCTGGCCGGAAGTAGAAAATAAGAAGTGATAGTAAAGATTTAAAATAAAATAAACGTTAGTAAAACTTAAGATCCTTACATACTTCCCGCCAGAGTTAATTAGTTTGAAACTGAGGTCTAAAACGACCTTGTTGAAAACTTTTAGCTCTAGAATCTAACGCGAGGCCAATCTTTTACAAACAAACTTCGCTAGAAACTAGAAAATTTAAAAGAAAGAAATTTGTTTTTACAATAGCAGCTCCCAGGATATACAACAATTTTTTTTCATCTGTACTGCATCTAAACAGGAGCTTTTATTCAATTCTGGTTCCTTCCAGAGATCTGGAAGGAAAACTAGTTTAATGAAATGTTACACAATGAAATGGCAAGTAACATGTATAATTATATTTCTCTTAACATTCTTATTTCATTCATGACTATTTTAATTATCTCTCCCCGTGCTCTCTGACATGTGTTGTAAAAGAACACCAAACACGAATGTGTTTCTGTCTATGTGTTCAACACTTCCTCCTACAATCAAAACACTAACGTGTTAAAATTCAACATACCAAGACCTCTTAACACACCCTAATTTCAACTCTAAACCCTGAGGTACTATTCTGAAAGTGGCTAACTCTGAAGTGTAGACAGTCACAGACAGTCACAGTATAAGAACATTAACAGTTATACATTGTTAACTTCTATTCTTTTCAAAGCAAGTGCCAATTCTTTCTACATTGAAATACTACATTTCAAAAAGTCTTTCAGACTAAAACTTCTTTCTTGCCAGAATGTTTTAAATAAAATTTATACAATAACTTTTTACAATATTTAAGTCTTTACACAACGCTATTATACATCAACTTTAGTTTTACGCGCGAGTAATTGAAAAACATAATACCAAAATCGGTAACAACTCATTTCT